AATTGCGTCATTTTTTCCTCACCGGAAGTAGGAAATGAAAGGCACTCTTGCAGGGATTCTATCAACTTTTGCGCGATAATGTTACGCATTAATACGCGCCGTTCCAGATTTTTCGTCGATTCCATTTTGTGCCTGGAAAATCCTTCCACCATTGAAATGTTTTTTCTTGAAGCGCACCAGCAATTGCGGAAGGTAATAAATCTTGCTGTTTGAAATGACCTCTGATTGGTGTAATTACAGTAACGTTTAGGGTCAGCTAGATTTATCCAACATTGATTACGTTCGTGTTGGTGGTTTATTACTTCAAATTTATCGTGGTGATTTTATTGAGTGGGTTTTTTATTGATTCTTTGGCTTTGTCCTCATTTGAACGTATTTGCCGCTGCTAAAGATATTAGCCGCAGCATCAGGCAGCGTTCATAGTTTGCGAGTGAGGAGACTCGGCGTTCGAGATATTGCCCGACAAGGAACGTATGGGTATCGATCTGATCATCCAGCAAATCGCCAGACAGATACCTATACCTTCTTCGTCGCGCCATATCGCAAACGCCGGGTCTCCAAATTCACCGAATCTTCTCAGTCGCAAATATAACTATCCTTCTAGCCAGATTTATGCAAATAAGTTCCTGCCAGATGGCTGTTTCCTGCTTAATGTAGTTTTCTTTTGCAGCGATAATTCCTTGATAAGCCATCTACGGTCTCTCCTTCCCTTTCCTTCACGGTTAACGAGGCAATATGGTGTTAACCAAAGCTCGTTCGAGAAACAAGTACTAGCAGAGTATAGTAAATTACGTGGTTTACAACGCGGGTCTGCCATTATTTCGTAAGTGTTTCATTTTCGTCATTTCATTCATTTTTCATTTTTTCTTTGTTGACAATTTATTCCTAATGAATTTTTCGATGAAGATCTTGGGCACTATTCAGCTAATATTACCGCAGAATATAAATATTTTTTCTCCTGCTGTCCCTTTGCCTTCAAGGGCTATTCGTTGCTCTAATCATTACCTTCATTGCTCTCCCGATCGGACATAATGGGCGTAGTATTACACTCCAAGTTATCAGCGTAGGGTGGAGGGCATGTTCTGCCGGGGAAAAACTTTTGCCAAATTACGACCTCAGGAAATCCATCCCTGGTATGACCCCCTCCTCATCCTACCTATCATTTTCCTAAGTTCCCCCAACTTCCTATAAGTTTTGTGGAGGCTTCCAGGGATGTCCCATTTTTTACCCAAATAATTGCCATGGAGCGGAAGGCAAGAAGTATCTAAGGTGGATGAAAAAGGAAAAACCAAGAAAACTATTCAGTTTGTGGCGCTAGTAGCCTTGGTGCGTCCCTGAAATGATCGTAG